GGTGGCCATGTCGCGCGAGAAGCAGGCCAAAGCTGGGTTCGCCGCAACAAGATTTGGCTAGGCTTTGCCATCGCTTTCGGGTATGCGCTGCTTACAAGGCTGGTGAACGATGTCCAGGGATGAGCCGCTTAAATACCTCTTTTCCAATTCAGAGAAATTTGGGCCAATTCCGTGTGAGTAATGCATTGACCCTCAACACACTTCGTCTTTTCGATCACCTTTGTCCAAAGTAAAGGGCATAACGTTTAATCCATCCAATTGACTCGGGGGAATGTTCTTGCGGGCCTAAGTGATTCCATGTTTTTGTAGGGCGTTCGAAGAATAGCAAGGCGTCATTTGATCACAACTGGAATATTGTTCTAGGTCTTCAAGAGCTTTGCATCACAATAGCCACTCAAAGTTGCGAAACTGTACATATACAATATAGCGAGAGCAAGAATGACAGATCTCGAGATACCTGCATTGTATATCGGCTACTAATAATTGGTCGCCAAACTACAGACATCACGTGGGCGGCGGGCGGCGGGCGGCGGGCGGGCGGGATTTCCTCCGGATTTCAAATCTGGGAAAAAGTTGTTTTTTTCTGTGACGCCAGTTTCTGTTGACCGTTCGCAGATTCGAATAACAAGGCCTTGCTTGACATCGTCGGCATCATCTCTGTCTATTTCAGCTACCAACCCTTGTCATCTCCACCGGCATATTTTCTTACAGCATGGGCTGGTTCTGGGCAGATACACAACCCAAGCCTACTCCCGCGGCTCCGAACCCGCTGGCGGCCTTCGACGCCTCGCCTCCGGTATGTCTATTTTGTGACGCTAAGGAACAGGTCAAAATCACTAATTCTCGTGCCTAGCCGGGGTGTCCCATGCACGTTTCCAGTACCACTTCTGCTTCGCCGACTCCAGCTGCTTCGGAGGCTCCGAGTGCCTGTCCGGTCCGACCTACTGACTCCCCTTTCTATGCGCCACCCAAGCCGCAATCTCCAAGAGATCAAACACCACCACCACCATCCGCTACCCCAGGCGAGACGAAGTCCACTCTTTCGAAACTGAACCCTCTGAATTATATGTTCGCTTCTATCTCTCAGGAAAAAGCTCCTAACCAGACTGTGGATCTCCCCGTGGAACGGGAACTTTCATCCATCCCAAGATCGGACACCGAAGGCAACTGGGAATACCCTTCTCCGCAACAGATGTACAATGCTATGCTTCGCAAGGGCTATACCGATACTCCGCAGGATGCTGTTGAGGCGATGGTTGCCGTCCATAACTTTTTGAATGAGGGTGCCTGGGACGAGATCGTGCGATGGGAGCGCATTTTTTCCAAGGGCCTCGCGGAGGGCTGGGAGAAGTGTCGACGTGGAGAAGAGAACCTCGCAATGGAGGAACTCCGGGAACAGATCTCTGGCTCTTCCCAGCAGACCCCTGCGCCGCGGCTCATCCGGTTCCAGGGCCGGCCGCAGGAGCTGACGCCCAAGGCACGGATTCTTCAAGCCCTAGGCTGGATTTATCCGGCTAGGTTTGAGTTAGTATTCCCCCACACTGTTGTTCGCCATTCATGCGCGTCCGTGTCTTTTACTAATACTATCGTTTTCTTACTACAGATCAAGCCCGCCCTTTGATAGACACGACTGGTTTGTGATGCGACAGACCCCAGCGGGCCCGAAGGAGGTTCGTTATGTTATCGACTACTATTCCGGCCCACCGGAACCCAATGGAGAACCGGTGTTCTTCCTCGATATCAGACCCGCTCTGGACTCACCGACCGCTGCCGTTGAGCGGCTGATGAGATGGGGAGGAGATGTTTGGTGGCGGGCTAGCGGCGCCTCAGTTCGAGAGAATGGCGGAAACTAACCGATCGTGAATGTGGTCAATGTTGAATTTCTTGCATCTTTTGCACTGGTATACACTCCGAGAAGGCGCGGGCGTCTGACCAATAGTCCTACTCTATGGGACTGTTCTCCTGTTTTCTGTGGCTTTTCATTTATATCACACCCCTCTCATGTATCATGTATTCTTTACTACCTTTTACTGTGAGCTCCTTCAACGGTCAAGTTGTCCGTGGAGGACAACGACCGCAATGATTTCTTGTACTCGGCTCAGGTATGATTTTCTCATTTCTCTACTTGGCGCCGCGAATCTATACTTCGTTCTGGAATCTGTTCTACATGTATTATAGAGTGCGTTCTGAATTTGTTAATGCGGCGGTTGCATCGCGATTTGTATTCATCGTGGTTCATATTCTATCGATGTTCTAAGTATCAATAAGATTACGCGATTCTGTACATCAGTGCCAAGGACTTGCTGTTGACCTTCTGATTCGATCTCTCTTCAAATGTTAGGGGACAGCAAGTCATATTTGACGCACTGTTCAACGCTGTCGATGCTGCTCTGCAGCAGTTCACGCGCTTCAAGTCCAACCCAAATACGGAGCATAGACACATCCCCGGACCGAACGGATCTCAGGGAAGTGACATTCGAACCGAGTTTTCGCAGTATTGGCAGGGCACTATCGGCTGCATCAGTATAGAAGCTTTGCGCGTCATTCATCGGACAGGCCCACCTTTTGAATAGATCGAGATCCGGATCCAAGTTCCGGCCAATACCCTCGAGAAGAAGACAGGAGATGACGACATTGACGAAATCCCCTTCCATCCGAACATGATGACTTCGGACCATGGACAGCACCTCACTCAGAACATCGCCAATTTTGACGCTGCCCAGTGCGAACGTCCGCGACTTGACGTTCAAGACCAGATGCTCCATTCTCAATGCAAAGTAATGAGGGTCAATCACAGCTTCTGGCTGGCGGCAGCGCTCAACCATAAGCTCACCCGCTCGGTATCCATCAAACTCGGCAATCGCGCGAAACAAATCGATGAAATTTTGGCGGTTGAGGTCGTTTAATTGAGTCACGAGTCCGGTATCAATAAAGATAAGTTGTGGTCGATATCCTTCTGCGTTCAACTGGTCAAGTACCGACTCCCAATCACGCCGATTACCGGCATGCGGTCGCAGCCGAGCAAGCACAGACTCTGTGACATCAACCTCAGCTGTAGTTGGCGCATCCGATGCACGGCTTTTGTTGCGGAGAGACAGGTCCAATTCACTTGGCTGATAGAATCGTACCATGATGTTTCCTGGGTGTAAATCAGCGTGGACAAAGTTGTCGATCAATAGCATGTGAAGGAATGCATCCAGGCCCTCATTGGCGATTTCTCGTTGGTAAACCCCTCCGCCGACGTCAAGGAAGGTCGAGAGGGAGATTCCCTGGGCGAACTCTTCCACGAGCACCTCTCGGGTCGAATAGTCTATGTACGGATAAGGAAACCAGGCTGTAGTCCGGGTTCTGAATTTCTCCCGAAACATGACCAGGTTTGCTGCTTCGATCCTCAAATCGAGCTGCAGCTTCATCATCTCTCCGAATTGGTTGACTTCGTCCGGCAAAGACAACCAGTGCATTGTAGGAATGGCATTGATCACCGAGGCAAAGAAGGACATGATCTTCAAGTCCCTATGGATCATGCGCTCCACCTTGGGATGCAGCACTTTGACGGCTACGTATGACGAAGGGACCCGCTGGGGGCTGCTCTTGACCAATGCCTCCACATTCTTTCGGACCTTCCTCCGTAAACCGGACGGTTGACCGTCGAACTCACCATCGTCTGTTCCCGCGAGGTTGGGTTTCAATTTTGCTTTATAGACCTGGGCGATGGCCCCTACTCCCAGGGGCTCCTCATGAAATTCTTCGAAGATATCTTCGAAGGGCAGGTTGTTGAAGGCCTTACTTATGATCTTCTTGGTCTGGCGTAAGGAGTGTGCAGGCGCATTCGAGTGGAGAGAAGACATGATGTCACACAGATCGGGAGGAAATATGTCGGTACGTGATGCTGCCCATTGTCCGAGCTAAAGAAGAGACGTCTGTTACAAAGTGTAGCAAGCAAAAGTATACGGCTTGGGACTTACCTTGATGAACGCTGGGCCTGCACGTTCCATGGACCGCACTAGGAACTTGTACCACCAAATGGTCCCCAACGGCACCGCTTCCCGATTCTTCCCATGTCCTCCAAGGCATAAGATGGGTGCCGTGAACACGACAGGCAGGAAAATAATGAGCAGGTGGACAAAGCGAAAACCGGTAGCTATCGGATCGTATACGAAGCGATACCCGTAAAGTACCAAGGTTTGCCAGAGCCTCGACAAACCCCTTGCTTCCTCGTCGACTTTCTTCTGGATCTCTCGGCGTGAGACTTCAAGCATCTGCATCTCACTTGTCTTGCCACGTTCCCCGTTCCCTTCCTCGGCAAGCTTCAAAAATGCCCCCGGAGCCAGCGCAGCAAGGAGTACCCTCCGACATCCAGGGGCATTTCCTGAACGTCTCGATCCGGATTGTCGCGACCATATTGGCTGACGGCCGAAGCGCGGTCGAGACAAATGGGGAAAGCGGGATAGTAGCGGCGGGCCTCTACCACGACACACAATGAAGCGGCCAAAGAGGACGGCCGTCCTCATATTCTCATATAGAAAAGTTTCGAGTAGCGGATAGAACGGTCATTGAAGAGCAAGACAGAGGCCCCGCGTGAGCATAATGATAAGAGGGGGACGGCCATCAGTGTTAGAGAAGAAGGGAAGAAAAGAGCAGAGTGAGTGAGTGAGTGAGTGAGTGAGAATTGGAGCAGCGCGGGCGGCGGGCAGTGGCCGAGCACGTGGTTGCGACGTCATCGTCACCATCGTCATCACCAGCATCAACAACACCAGAATGATCAACAGACAAACTACTTAGTACTATTCATATGTAGTACTATGTAAGTACTAAGCGATATGGCCGACCCTTGGTTCTGGAATCTTTCTGTCCATACCCGCTTTTTCCGATCATCAGCAAAGGAGATTTGTCAATTTGTCACCGGGGAACTCTCCTCTCGCTCGACTCGGTTGACTCGGCAAAAAGTCCAAATCCGGCTGTCATGCGTTTACTTGGCATGAACTATCGACGAAAACAGGTCTCTGTCTCTGCTTCTGCGGTAACTGTAATCTATAACATAGAGCCCACTGCACTCGAAGTCGCTCGATAGCTTTCTACCTAGACCAAGCTCTGCGGAAATGTGAAGACATTTCAAGTCAATCTGATCATTCGATCTCAAACATGGGCCATTCTGACTACAAACGTGATCCCGAATCCCTTCGTGACACTGCGCCGAAACGCCCTTGGTGGACGCCCTTCTCGCTATGCCTCACTTTCCTGTGCCTTTGTCTGCTCAGGGTCATAATAGTCCCTCACTGCTTCGGCCGATGGTCTTTTAGCTGGGGCATCCTACCTAGACTCGGAAAGAACAGTTCGCTCGCTCCCTTCTATGCCTACTCCGAAGGCTCGGGTGAATTCGACAAGCCCCAGGGCTTTGATATCGTTGCCTTGGTTCCGTTCCGCCAGTGGCAGCGCACCGAGATTCTGGATTGTTATTTGCAAGTGAGTAAGGACCGCTTTCTGTAGTGCCAAAAGTTCATCGGCTTACTTGGACCGCAAGAACAATCTCGTTTCCAACCATGGTTTCGTTGATCAAGTCGTGTTTCTGCCCCAAACGAACGATACGAGGGGCCTGGAATGGCTCGCATCGATAGTCGAGCAGAACCCATTGTACACGCTCGCGCAGGGAGAGCCCGGTTCGCAACTGGATCGATTGAAGCAGGACACACTGTACATTTGGATCGATGGCGACATCGTGTTTCTAGAAGACCATACGATTTCGACGATCGTCAAGACCAAGCTCGAACACTCCGGTCTGCCCTTGGTTTCGGCGAACGTCATCAACGAAGCAGCCTTGGAGGCCCTCCACAGCCATGCCAGCGTCGCCTTGCCTTATCTCCCGGAGCTGAGCCCCACGCAGTCGTCATCCGAGGCCGACATGCACGATTGGCGTGCCTCGCATCTCCCGCCATGGCAGGGGCCCAATTATTTTACCGTGAAGAAGGAATTCGCTCCGCCCTTCACCAGCCACCGATGGCTCCTTTCGGGCTACAGCAACTATAGCCGCACTCCCATCAGTATGTCGAAGCACGCTCCGGAAGGGCCTAGTATGCATCACTGGACTGTCAACGCTCAGCAACATTACTCTTTTCTGCACCACTTGGAGCTGAATCATCTCAATCGGTACAAATTCCCCACGTGGAGTGTGCCGTCAACAAACGTCAGCCTGAACTTCCTTTGCTTCTGGGGCAGTGTCGCAACGGGTTGGTTGCTCACGGAGTTCGATGGCATGACATTTTTGCAAACCCTCGCAGACGACCAAAGGGGGGAAAATAGTATAATTGATGGGAAAGGATTGGCTGTACACTATTTAAGCAGCCAGGGTCCGGAGGGACTAGATTCTACTGATTTGCTCAAACGATATCAATCGTTTGCAGAAGAGGCTATCTGTAAAGGCATATAGGCTTTCTGTGGCCGGGATTTAACTAGAGCAGCACCATGGGTGTTCTATTTAGGAATTATTGGTGGACTGAAATGCACATTTAGGATCAGCGATAGATATCGAAAAATTTAAATTTAAGCTTTGATGTGGGTATGTGAGCACCTTGCTCTTTCTCCGATTGACATGCCTTATAAGGTTGGTTAATTGTGCTTTTTCAGTTAGTGAGCTGAAGGTGTCTGGAGGCATGGCTGTTCATCAGTCTTTGCATACTGGCCTTCGAAGAATCCGGGAGGGTGTCCAACTGTAGAATATGATTAGTGTATCGCAGACGCGGTGATTAGAGTCCGGATCAACTTACATCACTCTTCAGCAACTCTTGCATAAGCACGATGATGTTGCCGCGATCCTTGTTGAGTTGCAGGTTGTCCGCCTCGGTGGAATCGGTAGAATCTGCAGCAAGCACTTCCTCGAGCACTGGCAGAATGCCCATTTTCTCTATACATTTCGAGGCTACAATCAACCCACCTTGTGTCGACGCCATCAAAGCAAGAGTAAACCAGCCCTCGCTCCGAACAACTGGCCATTGTGACTGGGTGATCATGGCACCCACAGGTAAGGAAACATCGTCGTGCAGCTCAAAGGCTTTTCTAAGGAGGCCCTCGGCATCGCTATCCTTCTCACGCACTCTGGGGACCAAGGTGCGGCATATAGAAGCCACGATGCGCCCAATCTCCGTTTTGATGGGGGCTGAGTCTGTTTTTTCAAACAGCGCGAGGAGCAATGAGAGGTAGGTCTTCCCTTCACCCTCGACCTCCTTGTCACCCACGGGAGCCTCCTCAAGCAAGCGAGCGATGTTCCCCACCGAGGAGATGATCACCTGCCGTGTGATGCTAGTTGCAACAAACTGGACCTGGGGGACTGTCTCATACTGCCAGAGGCTTGAAACGGCAGGAATAAGGCCTGCCTCTCCGAGCCGAACTTTATTGATACCGGCAACTGCCAGGTTTTTTAAAAAGCCGAGTGCAGAGTGGAGCACTGCACCCCTGGCTTCGCTTCTCAGAAGCGATATGAGCGCCTTGTGAATGTTCAGCTTTTCAACCATCTCTTCGCAGACTGCGTCCGATCTTGCCAGATTGCCAAGAACAACACACGAACAGATCTGAAGCTGGTCCTCCTTTGCCTCCAGCCAAGAGCCCAGTAAGCGCACAAGATCGGAATCAAGCGGATAGAGCTCTGCGAATAGCGGCAATGCGGAGACTTCGGCTAGAGTCTGATTTATCTTCAACCGGGCCTGTGCCAAGGCATGCATGTCCTCTTTAGAACATTCCTCATCATTGAATAAAAGTGATCGCTCGAGAACTGATAGAACCTGGGGCATCAAGCCATTAGACAGACACGTGGTTTGAAATCGCGTTTTGTTCAAGTAAGCACCGAGACAGGTAACGAGAGAGGCATAGTGCGCTGGAGATAAGTTCGCCCTCTGTTCATTCAGCAGGTCTAGAAGAAGCAGTAGTGTGGCATCTGGGGATGAGGAAATCCCTTGCTCTATGAGGATACCGTTAGTCTAAGGAGAGTCTCAAGGGTCGTTCGTCACGCATACCTTGTTCCCCAACCAGTTCAATAAGCTCGTAGACATAATCAAGTAGAGCCTGGTGCTTCGCAAAAGCGTTATCCTTCAACAATCTCAGGAGAATATAGGTAATCTTGTTGGCAGCTATCTGAGACTGGGCGGGTTCTATACAATGTCAGCTCTGAGGAATGTCCATTCGGAAAGAGTACAAATCAGCATTTACCGAAATCAATGCATATATTATATAGGACAGGTATAGCCACCTGAATAAGCTTTGTGTTTGCCAGGTGTCGTATAATGGCGGAGGTGTAGTTTTTTTCAACTAGGATCTCCCTGTTCTCATCTACCTAGTAGTCAGTGCTACACTACGCTATGGCACGGACAAACGCGAAACTTACTCGTATCAGCGCAGGAATTCCCGACTAGTCGCAATGCTTGCAGGAGAAGGTCATCATCGATAGCCTCCGTTGATGCTACAAGCCGGAGAAAGAAGTCTAGTATACCAGCTTGCCCATACAAAACGCGCCAAGGTGCTGTAGCTCGATTAGGATACCAACAATGGCTACAATGGACGGCTGCCTTACCATTCCTACTCCCATTAGCCAGAGCCTCAGCGGCCGGTAGCAGATACTTGGTCCTGCATTTCCAGAGTTTATAGAGAATCTTTTCATCGTCTATAAAGGCTTCAATGGTGCATCGCTCCTCTGCTTTCCTTAGCGACTCCTGTAAGGAAGTCAACAAAGACTGTTGATCTTCAAGTGGCACCGGTTCAGACTCTTCCACCACCAGTCCCATAGGCGAGAGGGCCAAAGTCGAGAACACTTGGTCCAAGTCTGGACACTCAATCCCCTTTGATAGCGCTGCTTCCGTCAATGCACACGACGAACCAATGGCCACATCATCGCCTTCTTTGGCCCTTAGTACGTCTGGTGCGGTGCTCATCTTTCAATTTGCAGTTTGAACAACGTATCAGTGCATCAAGCTTGTTTGATAGCCTCAGTTGAGCCAATGTATCTCGGATACAATGGTGGGCAGATGGCGGCCTCTGTTTCTGGCTAAATCAGTTTTATCCAAAACCGAATCTTCCGTCAGGTCGAGAGTATCGCTGGAAGGATATATATACGAATCTGTCCCTTCCCTTGGCCCGGGGTCTCGGTTCCCACTGAAAGACAAATGAGATGTTTCTGGTTTCTCTTTGTAGATTGAAGCAGAAGAGAGAATCGGTAGTAGGTTGGTAGTACCATGGAGTGTGAGGCACCAATTAGTTAAATATTACCTTGGTTCTGACAAACGTGACAGATCAAGGCGTATCGAAGTCGAGGTATACCTGGGACTTTGTTGCAGTCTGCGACATGCGACATAACCATGGTGAAGCTGTTCTTCTTACTGCTTACTTCTCATCTGATAGCATTCGAGTGAGGAACCCCAGTTACTTTCATTAGCATCTTGGGTGGGGGGGGCGAAATGCAGTGCTCTCCTGTTAATGTAGTGTCCAGTGTGTCAAGCATCAACAGAAACTGGTAATGTGGTAATACGAAAGGTATCTTACCAGATGCCAACCTGTCATGAGGGGCGGCGGCAGCAGTACGGTGGACACAGCGGCCACGGGGCGCAGCCGGTCTCACCTACAGCGCGTCTATACGGCGAAGAAGGACAGCACTGCGGTTCTTCAATCTAGTCACTCATTCCTATAATTCAAAGCACCCCTTCAACAAACCTTTCGCCTCGTCCGTCACATTGTATCGGCCTGATCCCCAGTTTTGTGCTCGGACTCGTACTCAACAGGCAAACCAAGATCATCAAATCACTATGACGCGTGCTCAGCAGACCCTCTCCGTTCTCCTGCTCGTCTCCTCGGTATGATGGATAGCCTCGCCCTCTCAATTCTATGTTGATCGCTAATGCAAAGTCCTGGATTCAGCTCTACCTTTCTCTATACCTGGGCCTTGTTCCTCTCAACGAAACCATTCAGAATGAGATCATTCCTGTCGTACGTCCTGCAATGAAACCCGGCTCTTTCTCTGTCCCCTGCCTCTTACCCCGCTGACCATCTGCGTCTTTTTTGAGCCAGCTTCCCTTCTATGCTCTGATATGCTTCGGATGCTACCTCCTCGGCCGCTTGGGCTTAGCGATTCTCACCTTCAACGATGTCCCGGAGGCGCACACGGAACTGCAAAAGGAGATCGAACAGGCCAAGGCCGAATTGCGCAGAGCGAACATCGACGTTGACTGAAGTCATTAGCGCAGGCGGACGGTTGGACCATTCACACCTCCAGCAATGTACTTTATTGTGTGGAATCTGTACAATTTATGTTTATCCGATAACGCATCGCATATGAGAGGGGGGTTGGCGTTTGGTGCGGCACATCCACAAGCGTTGATTGCTACGGACAAGGATCGATATTACAGGGGCTGCAAAAGATTGGCTGTAGCTTAGGATTTATCCAATGGATGATTCCTATAATTATATCGCTTCACCTGTGATGCAGTAGTCTGTCATCTAAGCTATGCAGAGTCCTATAGGCAATCTAGACCAGGATCAGCTAGGTCAAGGACAATAACCCGAGCTGCTTCAATCTTGTTGTGCCGGACGAAGATCCAGCAGGGTACGCTGAGATGTGGGGATTTCCCGTAACTAGTTATGATGGTTCGGACGGGTTAGCGCAGTATTCGAAGACGATACGGCCGTCTTTCTAGTTCCGTGGGCATGACGAAATATCACATTCGCGAAACGGGCGGGATCGTCCACATCGAATAGAAAGTCGCAGCATTTTGGCATGCAAAGCCAGACGATTTGATCTTCAGTGGTCTCTTGCTTTTGTTCTATAAAAATCAATCAAATAACACCATCCAGCAATGGCCAATGTCGAAAAAAAGAGTATAATGTGTCTTGTAAACCGAAGCGATGTATATGCATAATAGATGAACTGGGATGCAGGAACGGCGGGTCCGGTGCATCGAGCGTCGGATAAGTCATGCAGGTGTTGACGGACAAGGAGCTTAGAAGAGAGGGTTTTCCTTGGCCAATCGGTCGTGCTCATCAATGTCCCTGTGGTAGTGTGTGTCAATAACACCTAACGGCTGCAGAACATTGGATAAATTGCGGAAGAACAACATACTTGGCTTCCCAAGGATAGCAGATCCATACATCCTCGGTAGTAACCGCGGCATGGTAACGACCGGATTCCATCATATCAGCTGGCAAGACACCCTTCTTGGACTTGTTCTTGTTCTGTTTACCAGGTCAGAAAACTCCGAAGTTCTTCTCGGGAGTGGGAGAGCATGGAGAGATATCTTACGTGAAGCACGAAAATAGAGAAGTTCGTCTTCTCGCCTTCCCGTCCAAGCTGCTTCTGCGCGTCCTCGACATCCTTCTGGAGCTCGCGCACGGCGTATTCGAGGGTCGTGCGAGTGTCGTCAACCTCATCAACAATGAGGATATTTTTGCCAATCAGATTCGACATCTCCAAAGAGCTAAGGTCGAGCCACTGTGTCCGGGTGACCTTGGTACCAGGGACCTCCTCGGGATCGCCGCGGCCGAGGTCCTCGTAGAGAGACAAACCGATGGCTTGGATGGGAATGTTGGGCTCGCCCGAGCGCTTCAGGAAAGATCTAGGCACGAGAAGAATTAGAATAGGCACCTCTGGGTTTCACCCAACGTGGGCTGCCACGAACCGGAGGATACGAGCAGGAACATAACCACCACCACCAATGGCGATCATCAAATTAGGGCGGATAGTGGACAGGATCTTGTCGGCAGAGTCCTGGCATAGTTTGTGGACCTATCACGCTCCGATAGACGTTAACCAAATTATTGACAATAAGTTGATAAACTCATGCTGGACTGGCGGGACAGTGCGCGCACGCGGACAGTGATGAACGCCTCGTCTCAACGAGTGAGAGATACTGCGCGAGAGGGGGGGTGACGCAAATGTCTGGTCTGCAAGGGGCCAAAAAAGAAAAAAGCAAGCATACCTGGTTATAGGTGACATAGTACTTTTGCGTCATTTTGGCGGCGGAGAGGCAATTAGGCACAAAGTGTTGAATACAGTGAGTACGATAGTAGAGAGATCGGGATTGAATCTGGTGGATTGGTGGATTGGAACTTTGACTGAGCACAGCAGCGGAAAGTAGAGGGGGAAAATTTTTCTGGAAAATGATCGTGCCACAAAAGATAAGACAAGCAATGAGGGGTAAATTTAGGGACACTGAAGAAGAAATAATTATCCAAATTCGAAATTTCTTCTCTATGTCTTTTTTGTTTTCTCTTCTTTTTTTTTCCCTTTTTTGGTTTCCTTACTTAATGACGCACTAAGGGAGTCAAGGCTGCACAGAGCCAAAGACTGGGGATAAGCAGAGGATAAGGTTGCCCGCCATCGCCCGCCTGCCAAGTGCCTAACTAGACATGCAAGGGACCTATCAGCTTACAGTTCCGGCCGCTAAATCCCTGAACTGCCCCGCAGTCTCGCTTCCACAGAGACGGAGTCCGGAGACCTCCGGTAGCCTATGTTAGTTTGTAGGTAATGTTTGTATGGGCTTCGAAAATGTATCCATGCATGTACTGTCCGTCTATGGCACTACAGGAGATATACTCAAATATATCAACTCTGTCCTGTGGCTTCAAAGCTCCTCAAGCCGTCTGTCCATGGGGAGTCGGGGACCGTGTGAGTGGTAGAAAAGGCGCGCACCTTGACCGAACGGCTTCTGCTAGTTTAGGTTTTTATAGTCGTCCTTACCTGATTGTCTATAGTCAGACCTGGCTCTTAGTGCTTGGTGGCTCAAGAGGATCATGGACCAAGTTAAGTCAACTCTAACAATCTCCTGTTTTGTACTAGCATAGCCGGTTTCATCTGGAATCGGAATTTCTATGCCACTTAGTCCCTGGTTACTAGCGACCACACCATGTGCATTGGGGATCCCACCTCATTGGATTCCAGACTATAGTTTAGCGGGGTAGATCTGAAGCAATAATACAGATTGAGTTATCAAGCTCCCAGATTGTGTACCCGGGGCCTTTCGCAGGATACCAGATCAATAACCTCCAAATTAGAGGGGAGTGGCAGGTTTTTATAAGGCCGAGTATGTCTGCAGGTATTGAGTGAATATATCACCCGATTCATGTTGTACGCAAGCTATGAGACCTGTGGATTGGGTTATCTTTTTCGCAATATTCTTGTGCGCCAAATCATCATCTATCATCGTCATCTGTGATAGAATTAGCTTTTTACACATATGTCTTTCCTTTGCACGGAGTAATTTATTTTATACATGAGATGGATCTCTTATTCCAGATTGTCAAGGGTAATGGCAGGCAGGCACGCGCACGGGTACTTACCGATGCTCACTACGAAAAGGGTTTCTTGGCATGATCCCACCCCTGCAAGCTCATGACAAGAGTAAATGCCGAGGTTCATATATATGTCCCCAACCGTGTGACCGCTATGATCAAAAGTTGCAATTGTACCAAACAGCACCTGTGTACTGAGGCTTACGGATATTAACACGCAAATCAAAATATCATACAATGGCCGGCATCGATGACAAGCAAATGTCTGTCCTAATCACAGGGTAAGCTTTAAAATACCTCCTCGATGTGCTTGTGATTCGCATGACACCTTGTGAAGCAGCCTTACACAAACGTTTAATGGATAGAAACTGACTGCAATGATACATAGGTGTTCCCCCGGTGGAATAGGTAACTCGCTGGCTCGTGAGTTCCACAGAAATGGGCTACGCGTGTTCGCGACAGCAAGAAGTGCAGACACCCTGCAAGATTTGGCATCAATCGGTATTGAAACGTTGAGCCTTGAGGTGGATGACCAAGAAAGCGTACAGTCTTGCTTCTCAGACATCAATGCTAGACTCGGGGGCAAGGGACTCAATTACCTAGTGAATAATGCGTGAGAAATCCTTATACCCAGTTTGAGTTGACGCGCTGACATGCTCTTTAGAGGCCGCAGTAAGTTCTGACTGGTGATGGTCGGGTAATCAATGGATAAAGACTGATCTCACAATGGACAGATTACACGGTCCCAGCGATGGAGGCTGAGCTCTCGGAAGTTCGCGCAACTTTCGAAACCAACCTCTTTTCAGTCATCTACATTTGCCAGGTTTTCTTGCCTCTTCTCATCAGAGCCAAAGGAACCATTGTACAAGTCGGAAGTGTCGCTGGGGTATGCATCTACCACGTAAACTAAAAGCCGAGAGAGACGCGTCGGGATTTGCAGGCTGGTGCTAATGCTGACCCAGATTATTCCATATGTCTTTGGGTCGGTCTACAATGCCTCGAAGGCCGCCCTGCATTCATTCAGTGATACCTTACGGGTAGAACTCGCTCCTTTCGGGTATGCGCCCTGCCCTCCTTCTTGCCCGCAAAGGCATCTCTGACCTTTCTAGGGTCAATGTCACCACGATCGTCACCGGAGGTGTACAATCCCGTATTGCTCGGATCAAACGTACGCTCACTCCCGACTCAATGTATCTCCCAATCGAAGAGGAGTACAATCGACGCGTGGTTCACAGTCAGGATGGGGCCATGCCAAATTCCGATTATGCGCGGAGTGTGGTCTCACAAATACTATATGGACCAGCCCCATTGCGTTGGGTCTGGCCATGGGCGCCAAGCCGTAGCTGGATCTGGGAAGGTAACAAAAGTTGGGTTGTTTGGCTTCTCAGTGGGGGGTGGGCTTGGACTGGCCTGTTCCATTTTATGATGACAAGAATGTTCAAGCTTTACAGATTGAAGAAGGTGGAAGATGGGAAAAAGGCCGTGTGATTTCTTCCAGGTTTACTGGTAAGGGGTCCGTTGTAGTGGGATTTTGTGCTGAGGACGAGCTTGGAAGATCCAATGAGGTAAATTGATCTGGTCTTGGGACAGTTAAGTATGAGCAACTTAGCTAAGGTTTCCACCTTCTCCTTTGCGCCTTCTATTGATAACACGAGAAGGATTGAGTCAAGTAGAGAAATATAAAAAAAGGAAGCGCGGCATAGGTACCTTGTAGTATCTACCTAGTATCTGCTCAGGCAGTTGTTCGAGATCTTTATGGCTTACTCATGCCGAAAATGCACGCTGGTTGGCCCGTCAGGTGACCTCTCCGATTGCTACCGCCCGTAACGTCCCAAGGTAATAATATCATCCCGAGTTTCGTAGCCGCGAAAAAGAAAGCTGTTCTCCCATCAGCACCCAACTTCCCCCCTCCCTTATCACCAAACCTCACTTTGGAGGATCTTCTCATTTCTCATAAATCTAGCCTCTCTGACAGGTTCCCCTTGATTCCTCTCCCCTCTTTATAATTCCTTTTCCTACCTGGTGTCAAAATGTTCAAGCTTGCCCGCAGCAAACCGGTTACCGCGGCCTTGAGAGCTGCGACGGTGAGTTATCCTTGCCTACTGAAAATTGTGTTCTTCATAATCCATATGGTCTCATCTGCTAACACTTGTGGTTACTCATAGGAGTCTTCTTTCCAGTCCCGCCTGGGCCAGCAGCAGAGAAACCTCTCCATCCACGAATACCTGTCCGCGAACTTGCTCAAGTCGGTACGGCACACGCGCGCTATCTACAACCATGTTCTGGCTTTTTCCGGTGCTGACAAGTCGCTAGTATGGCGTCGGAATGCCCAAGGGTGAAGTCGCCCGCTCCGCAGAGGAAGCTGAGGCCGTTGCCAAGTCCCTCGGTGCGTTTTTCCATGCTTACATTTCGAGTCGCGGTTCGCTAAGACCATGATAATAGGTAACGATGATATGGTCATCAAGGCTCAGGTTCTCGCTGGTGGTCGTGGCAAGGGTACTTTCAGTAACGGTCTGAAGGGTGGTGTGCGCGTGATCTACTCGTGAGTATGACTGGGAGCGTCAGATTTGCTTCTGTCTTTTAACATGAACCATTTTTTCTCCAGGCCTACCGAGGCAAAGATGTTCGCTGGACAGATGATTGGAGAGAAGCTTATCACCAAGCAGACTGGTGCTGCCGGTCGTCTTTGCAACTCCGTCTACATCTGTGAGCGCAAGTTCGCTCGTCGCGAGTTCTACCTCGCCGTTCTCATGGACCGAGCTACCCAGGGTCCTGTCATTGTCGCCTCATCTCAGGGTGGTATGGATATTGAAGCTGTCGCTAAGGAGAACCCCGACGCCATCATCACTACTCCTATCGACATCAAGGTTGGAGTCACCGACGAGATCGCCACGAAGATCGCTACCGAGCTTGGCTTCTCTGAGCAATGCATTGACGAGGCTCGCGACACTATCCAGAAGCTGTACAAGGTCTTCATGGAGAGGGATGCCACCCAGATCGAGATCAACCCCCTCTCCGAGACTTCTGACCACAAGGTCATGGCCATGGATGCTAAGCTGAACTTCGACGACAACGCCGAATTCAGACAGAAGGAGGTCTTCGAGTGGAGAGACACCACCCAAGAGGACGCTGATGAGGTCAAGGCTGCTACGTATGTTCTTCAAGTGGATCAAACTGATTCGAAGAGTTTCTAATCCGGGTACAGACACGGCTTGAACTTCATCAAGCTTGACGGTGATATTGGATGCTTGGGTAAGATCAAATACAAGAGCTCAGATCAATATGCCTTCCGCTAATCTTCAGTGCAGTCAACGGTGCTGGTCTGGCCATGGCCACCATGGATATCATCAAGCTTAACGGTGGTAACCCCGCCAACTTCCTCGACGTCGGTGGCGGTGCTACCCCCGCTGCTATCAAGTCCGCCTTCGAGCTTATCACCAGCGATCCTAAGGTGACTGCCATCTTTGTCAACATCTTCGGTGGTATTGTTCGTTGCGACGCTATCGCTCAGGGCTTGATCAACGTCGTGCAGGAGATGGGCCTGCGTACTCCCATCGTTGCCCGTCTTCAGGGCACCAACATGGAGCAGGCGAACAAGCTGGTATGAACACCCATGGCTTCTCATCATTCTTAGTATGAGCAAAGTACCGAGCTAACCGTATTGTCTTTGTAGCTCAACGACTCTGGCCTCAAGATCTTCTCCATTGAGGATCTCCAGAGCGCTGCCGAGAAGTCGGTTCAGTTCTCCAAGGTCGTCAAGTTGGCTCGCGAGATCGATGTCGGTGTTGAGTTCACTCTTGGTATCTAAATTCCATGTCGACATAGACCTGCGTCTCCTTAGCTGATGCTCCACTATCTCTTGTATTTTTCTCTTCTTTGTTTTTCTGCAATTTCTTTTCTTGATATCTATATTTTTCTTTCCGGTGGCCGAGAGGACAGGAAGATTCGAGTTCAAATATGCAGCGAGATGCGGAGTTATTGGCCGAGGAGGGCGACAGCCTTTCTTTCTTAAGGTATGATGCTAACGCACTGCTGCTGCTTAGAGAATGATCGGTCATAAGGAGTTGCCCACGAGTTAAACATAATGGTGATACACGAGATGGATCCAGGCGAGAGTACCTGGGAAATTCTTATAGATGGTTCTGTATATCGTCCATGTCTAGGTTTATTTCTTATTGTCAATGTCTTCGTTACAATGATTTAGAATCCTCGTGCCATTTGAGGACAATGGCTGTCCCGCTAGGATTGGCTTCCCAATCCCAGAGCCTGATTAGCGAGACATCAGGTCTTAGGAATCATCCGTAAACTCAGCGTGGGCCAGAGTATCATCTTCTACAGGCCAGGCTCTTGTCTCGGTCTGGTGAACCTGGAGAACAAACTCCCGATCCCCAAGGAAAAAGGCGTCCGCATCGTGACAGCTCGGATCCATTCCTCTCGCCGCTCGATGGGGCGGTTGGGCTGATGTGTTAGATACCCATAGAGCTGGTCTGCCACCGTCCTCCCTGAGGTAGTACAGTAGATTGTGGTCCACAGCCACCGCATTCAAAAAATGATAGGGCCTATTATCCCAGGTGAATTCGTGCAGACTGATTTCATCCGTTTGAGGGTCGTAAGTAGCTATAACCCATTGAAACGATCGCGTGACGGCCCCGTTCAATGGTGACTGCACGAAGAACACCGCGAATCGGTAATGATTATTGTCCCAAGACCGGCTCAGCATCTCGAGCGACCAGTCCCGATGAACGGCGGATAATGGAAAAGCGCGCTGGGTGTGCGCATGTCCTTCGCCATCCATGGAATATTTTCTTATGCAAACTCGGTACGTCTCCAGAAGTTCGATATGAACAACGACAAGGGTCTTGGTGGCGGGCAGCAAATCTAGTACTGCCACTTGGGGAACATTCTCGATTGTGTGAGCGGTACGCGACCACATGTCCCAGTAGGTCACGGATTCTGTATCGATCTTGTCCCCAGACTCCGTGACCGTATAACTGTTGTAGGCTACGGCGACTGTGTTGTCGCGTACCGCAAAGCCAGTCACGTTGAGGGATGGGATACGGAACCAGGCGTGCTCCTCGGTCTCCAGATCCCAAACATGACAATACCTGAGGGAAATCAATATATCCTGTGAGCCCTTGCACGCACTACACCTCAAGATCATCCGATCATGTTTCTCGAACTATCATCTAGACAAAGGGGAGTATAAGAAGAGGGGGGGAAAACAAAACTTACGCGCGAGTGCTGGTCGCTACAACCACGGAGTTCGAGATCCCCACCAATCGAAAGCGATCTCGGTTTTCGGTGCAAAACTGCTGCCTTGTAGAGTTGCGAATACTGTGTACAACGAGGAGGTCGGGGCTCCTAAGCCATGCAAACCTCCCGTGGGCGTAAGCGAAGGTGTTGGGCGTGGGGGCGCTGTGGGGGGTTGGTTGGCCATCGATCACTTTCACGGCCCTCTGTGCGGCGGCGGCAGCGACGGGTTGGCCGCGCTCCAAGTAGAGCCTCCGTTGAGCGTACCGCGTGATCTCGGCCGTGGTGAGGTGCGTACTGGAGTTGTTTGTCCATTGGCGATATACGGTGCGCTTGGTAGAAGCAGATGACAGAAGCGCGTGCCATCGTCTCGAGACCTGGGGGGTACGAGCTGCGTTAAGTCCCGGTCCATCAACAAGTCTGCTCCCCGTGTCCCTGATAGTCACCTACTCTCCTGAGCACGTGAAGATCGGAAACGCTCAGATGCTGCACAATCTGGAGGGCGATCTCGGGCAGGAACTCGCCTAGGATGTCTTTCTGGAAGGTCCGCTGTTCGATGCATGCGCGTAAATCGCACCATTCGGTGGAGTTCAGTTGGTTCAGCAGTTCATGATACCTGCGACTTGAAACTTAGCACTATCACGTCTGGGCGGGGAAACAGATAAGGAAGGGGGTGGGCGTAGGACGAGTTGGCTCATACGCAGCTCTTCGGGCGGAATTTGTGCTCAGATTATTAAAAAGAGAGATGATCTGCTGGATGGTTGTGGCATTATCACTAGACGGTGAATCCAGACTCATAGCTGAATTCGGGCACTGCGCCGGAGGGGAAAGGGGTTGGGGGGGAACGTTGTGGGGATAGAGAACAAGGAATCCCCAAAGGAAAAGAACAGGTAGAGTACGGAGTATAGCAGTGCTTGTGGCGTGATTAGACAGGGAAAGTTGCAAGAATATAATGTGAGGAGAGAGGATGGAGCTGTCACATTGACTATTGTAGATTAAGTTTTATTATTGACAGGACAGGATTTCCGGCTATGGATCAGCTTGGGTGTCTTGTTATGGTAAATTACCATAGATACCCAGAAATATATATAAGACTACTAAGTTATGAGTATGACTATGTAGCTTTACTTATGATTAGCATAGTACAATGTAGGCAAACAGACTGAATAAGTATCAAATGTGTTTTCAGCTTCATTGTCCTTCCAAAATATGCACCCAGCCTTCCTTGTTCATCTCCTTATTTAGGGTGGTTACTATTGTTGCTTGTGATTGATTAATCGATCTTATTGTTCTCTCCTCTGCGGTTCCTCCCGCCGACGTGATCAGAATAAAGTACGAAAGGTTCTCCAGGCAGCTTGTACTGCACCTAGTATGTTAATTTATGAGTAACTAGTACGAGTACAACTGTGACTTTAAATTATGCTAGTTCCAACGGAACAAGCAGCCTGCGCTGCAGATCTGATCGTCTTCTGGCCCCCATCCACGACGCCTCGTCCCTGATCGTTTTCGGAGACTCACTCCTCTTTGTCCTCGTCGCACTGCTGTCCAGTCCAGTATATCCCTTCATACCCTAAGGGTTTCAGAAGGGAAGAGAGGAAAGGGAGACTAAGTCCTCAGTACCTAGTATTGAAGATGATATGACATCGAATGGAAACCAGCAAGCAACACGAGACAACGAGACTCGTTGACCATCCACGGGGGTTCTCTTCTCTTGCTTTTGAGCTCCACCGAGGAAGCTATGTACGGACACGAGAAGCATCCATCCAACGGACTGACCAGCAGAATGAGCCTCGAGCAAAATTTCAGGAAAACTCGATTGAGAAGAAACGGGGGGGAAAAGAAAAGAAAAAGAAACCCGAAAACTGAAAACTGAAAACTGAAAATAGGCCAGCAAAGCTAGGGTCGACCAATGGAACAAGCCCAGGATGATCGAGGCAGCGGAGAGACTTTTGAAGAAGTGTTGATCCTCAGTTCCAGTCCGTTCGGCCCAGACCCTCTTTTTTCTCCCTCTTGTCTCTCTCTATCTTGCGGTCTCGCGGTCCTGCAGTCTCGCAGTTTCTCTGTCTCGTTCTTCTCTTTGGGCTTGTAAATCATCATCATCCTCATCATCATCAATATAATTCATTTATTTACCCTCACCACTATTTACACCATTCCCTCGATCTTATTCTTTCTCCCTCTGTAATCCAAATTTCAATGTCTCTTTTCCCTCTTCCCTCCCTCCCCTTTTCCTCTCTTCTTCAAATCTAGTTCTCTTATTGCTCAATCTACTATTGTTCCTTTCCTCCTATCGCCATCTGCCTTTTCACACTAAACCCGCCCCACAGGGCAACCTCAACTTCTTCCTTTTTTTCTTCCTCTCTCAATTACATGGTTCAACAGAAACCCAGAAGCCTGACAGAAAGTAACAAAAAAAAGGCACCCAACCTTATCATTAGACTGGAAGGAAGGAAGACCAGAATACGAAAAGCAGCATTGAATTTTGCTGGGTCTTTCTCTTCCTACCGGTCTATCTCTCGGTCACCCGTCCTTCGTTTCTACCTCCCCCCCCCTTCTCCTCCTCCTCCACCACCTACTCCTCCGTCGCCGCCGCCTCTTGCTCCTGTTCTCTTTTCCTCTAGACTTTTACCGCGCGAGATGAGCAGCAGCCTCGCCGATCTTCCCTCCAGGAACTCCCTTCTCGCTGCTCCTCCTGCTACTGCTGCCACCGATGCGCCGGGCAAAGTCCGAAAGATCCCTGTCCTCTCCTCCGTCGTTCCAACATCCTTCCAATCGAACGGTGATCCCATGGATGTCACACCTCCAGCCCCGGGCCCTGCGCCCCCCATCCACAGCAGCCCCGATAGCGATCGAACGGGCACGAACCTCAACATCACTACCACGACCGCTCCTAACAGCTCGGCCGACTCACAGAGTGTGAATCACCATCATCTAGGCCCTAATCAGGCAATCGGTGCCGCGGCCGCCGCGCAGCAGCCAAAGGTCGTTCAGACAGCTTTCATCCACAAGCTTTACAAGTACGTCAGCCGTCCAGCTCAATCGTCTTTGTCTCCATCAGAGATGCTACTCCATGTTCTCTGGGTTCGCACACTGACAATCAAATGAGTAGTATGCTCGAAGATCCCAGCATTCAACACCTAATATCGTGGTCCAATACCAATGATAGCTTCGTTATGTCGCCCACCTCTGAATTCTCCAAAGTACTCGCGTGAGTCTTCCTACTCCAGCGCGCCGGATCTATCCTACAAATGAGAGGAGGCGCTGACCGATCTATGCAGCCAGTACTTCAAGCACACCAATATATCCTCATTCGTCCGGCAATTGAATATGTATGGATTTCACAAAGGTATGCTGGTCCAGGCCGAAGATGGAGGGGTGCACCGTTACTGATGTCATTGGACACCAGTGAGCGACGTCTTTCATACTGGGTCTCCGGATTCTGCTCTCTGGGAATTCAAGCACGGAAATGGCAACTTCAAGCGTGGCGATCTTGTCGGCTTGCGTGAAATTAAGCGACGCGCATCCCGCCATGCGTTGATTCATCGCGATTCATTTCCAGGCCACAAAGCTGCCTCGCAACCGGGCACGCCAGCTGAGCCTGTTCCGGATGCCACTGAAGCACGCTTGATGAACCTGGAACATTCAATGTTCGATATGCATGCCCGTCTCACGCGCGCCGAAGAAGGGAACGTGGCGCTCAATGCGCGATGCCAATCGATGGCGGAAAGTTTGATCCGTTGTTATCATGTGCGTGGGCCCGATCATTCCAAATTGTATGCCAGCTATGCGGCGAAGGCAGTACTGATCTCGGTTTCGGAATAGTGGACACATTCGATTTCCCGATTCCTTCAAGGGATGATTCCTGATCGCGAAAGCATCTTGTATCGGGATGGTGAGCTTCGTCGCCTTGAGTCCTTGAAATCCGGGTGACCTAACCTTTAGCAGTGACCGGCATGCAAGCCGAGCTAGAGAAGCATTTAGATGCCGTGCGGTCTCTCGAGCACTCTCAGGATCCTTACCTATCAGTCCGCCAGCCCTACGTTGCCAACATCTCTGTCGAACCCGGCCCGCCGTTGTCCCCGCGTCAAATCCCTCAGGAGGATGGACGTCGTCCTTCGATGATGGAGAATCCGTCTCGGCCCAACATGATTCGCCCTCCTGTTCCCCCACATTTGGCTGCTTCCCCCCGTCGCTTCGGTTCGATCGGGGCCGGGCATTCCTCCCCGAACTACAGCCGCCCCCAGGCGCCGGCTGTGGTCACCCCACAACAGCCTGTGCCTCATCCCCTATCTTCGGTCTCGTCTCCTCCAGGCCCCAACCTCACTCGTCGCCATACTTCAGCCGATATCAGACAGCATGGCTGGCCGCCACCGGGAGTTTCGCCATTCCCTTCGACTCATTTGCCCACTCATGCGGCGAATCCCTGGTCGCCGTCGCGACACCGAACTCCGACCTCAAGTGAGCAGCAAGTACGCGATGTGTTGGCGCAATACGAAATGGGCGCCCCACGGCGCCTACAGGAGAGCACTCGTCATGCGACTCCTCCCTTGCACCCCGATCAAACTGTTCCCGCCGATAATGGGTGGCCCCTAGGTCCCAGGTTCCCTCGCCACGAAATGTCCCTCCCTGCAACACGGCGCTCCAGCATGGCAAGCAATGTTCATTCACTTCTTAACCCCGCCGATACGGCTGAGCGACCGGACGAAGACCAGCATGCGATGGCGGACGATCGGAAGCGGAAGCGGCTCGAGTAGACCACGAGACGCACAAAGTTTCGGTTTTGTTTCAGGCAGCGCTCTCAGGCAGCTTCTCGAGATCATCATAGTATGCGACTGTAACGAACTCAATTTCTCGATACAGTCTCCCTAATTCATCTTCGAGTGTGGCGCAGACGCTCGGAAAGAAAAACGATTTGGAAAAAGACAACAAATACACCAGTCCCTCCCCATCGTACACTGGCCAAGTCTGCGCAACGGGGGCATCACTCTGCCTGTAATCTTTCATATCTCTCTTACACGCTCTTTCGATAATTCAATTGGGCCGGAGCATTCTTTTGTACAATCATTCATGAGGGTGTGGGAAAGAGGGGCTGGGCTCGTTTGTAGCCTATTACTTTTGCGCAGGGTGTTTCTTCAATTTTGCTAACCTCTTACACTGCTTGGACAGCATGCATCATTGGTGGTTTTACCTACACCAAACACTTTGGGATTATCACTATCGATTCCCATAGTTCACACCGCTGGTTCTCCCAGTCAATCGATTGGTGGCCATGCATACTCTAGCATTTCAGGCTAATTGGGCCACTTCTGTTTATTTATACTATATACCCTGGGTTGAGTGGAACAGAATACTGCTTGGGGACACTAATTTAGAGATGAATCTATAGTGACTATTTGACTAAGACAATGTACAGAATTCAACTTCCACACTAGGCAAAGACTGGTTTGTGTCGGCTATGCTGAGTATATCGATATGATCACTAAGCCAAGAACAAACGAACGAACATTGGTCGAGGTCAGTGTTTGCTTGATATATGGTATGCCACCAGATCGAGCGGGTATCAATATTGTGTTTGGTTTATGCCTATGTACACAAGAGTGGTCGATTACCGAAACACGTACCTAGTAATCACCTCTTCTTTCTCTTCTTCGACCGTTCGGCCAAAATCTCGTCCAAAAAGCTTGTGCCCTTTTTTCTACCTCTTCGGCCAGATGAGGGTTGCGATGGACCGCTTTCTGGTTTGTCGTCGCCACCAACATCTGTCGCCTTGGCCTCGGAGCTCATGTTTTCGGTTTCTCCCGGGGTTTGTTGAGGAGGGGCATCTGCTTTCCTCTTCCTTGAAGACGAGTTATTCTTTCTGCCAATAAGAGCCAGGCGACCTTCCTCCTCATCGTCATCTTCCTGGTCAGCCCCGTGACCGGCGCCGGACGACGCCACCTTCACCGACGGTCGGCCTGCAGCGGTACCAGCGGAGGAGGCCCCCGTCTTTGCATTAGCCTTAGCCGCCATGACTTTCTGATAATTGCGACCGAGAAGCTGTTTCCGTAATTTGTCATTTGAGTCCAATTCCGTGCGATTCCAACTTCCATCCGCGGCTTTCGTCGGCAAAGGCGCTCCAACTCCGAGCCTGTAATTCTCCCCGCCCGGAATCAAGAGGTCAGCGACACGAACCAAGATATACCTCGCGAGAGGAAACACGTTTTCTCAAGTTAACGGCATTTTGGCTGGGGAAGGAGTTCGTTTACGTTTCTGGGACCGCCGTGAATATCTCATCCTCTTCGCGCTGCAACTCCTCTTCGGATTTCACATTGGCTTGGTCCTCCGCCGTCGGAGCTGGGAGCCATGATGCGACAAGCCGCTGGCTGCGGGCCAGTGCGACATTGGCCTTGTTGAGGATGATGTCTGTTTCCGATTGTGATATTGACATCCTGGGAAAAATGTTTCTGATCTGATGATTCGGCTCGTAAGGTCAATGAGGGTGCCCTTCTGGGTTTGATTTTCCGAGAGAGCTGCGTTTAATTCATATTGAACTTTTTTTTGCGATAGCGAGGCGGCAGATTCGGGCAGAACCCATATTGGGGGACTGGGGGTTCTTCACCGCTTTTCAATCTTTTGGTGATAAGGTTTGATTGGGTTGGGATTCCTTTATACTGTAGAATTGAAGTATGTTTTCGCATGCTCTATGTAGAGTAAATTATTGTCGGTGTGCGCATGTACCGTGGACTGTATGTTTGGGGTGATATCGCAGTTACTGATACTATGCGTCAAGGAATTTATTGAAGGATCATCTTGTTACTACCATAGTGGTTTATATACACCTCACGCACGTCCGGAAGGCTCTAAAAACATCTATATACTTAACATATATACACAAACACACGCACACGCACACACACCCACACAGAACCATGGGAGACAGGGTATAATCATCGTCTAAAGGAAGAGGGAGGGATCGGGAGAGGCGTAAAAAAGTCTTTCATCAATTGTCTCACGTGTGGGCTTCCTCTTGGTGTTTCTGCTTCAACTTCTTCTCCGTCTTCATGAACTCCCGGATCCCGACGGGGATATTGGCAAACAGATCCTCATTGGGATCCGGCAGCGTCCAGTTCGTTTCACTGCCCCCGCCGTCGTCGTCCATACTGCCGCTGGCGGCCTTGACCTCGGACCTCGGCGTCTGGCGCTGGTCCTTGCCGTCGCTTGTTGCGGGCGAGCCCTTCGCCTTCGCCTGCGCAAGCCGCGCAGCCCATTCTTCCAACTCGTCCCGATAGTCGTCCCACACGCAGTGAACGCAGCCGCTCATGCAGCAGTTGTCGGGTTCCTCCGGACGCGGGGGGATCGCGACCCCGTTCACGGTTCTCCAGGTCGCGTCCGGCGCGGCCCCGGGGTCGTAGCGCGAGGCTCGGCCGGGGCCTGCGAGACGGGTCCCGAAGACTATGGCCATTTTCTCCTCCGGTGTCTGGGGCTTCTTCGTTGGGGGGTCCGGTTCCTCGGCTGGCTCGCGGGATTGTAGCCGGGGAGGAACGGTCTGCCGGTCGTAGGGGGAGCGGGTCGAGAGAATATCGTGGTAGTAGCCGGCAAGTGGTTGCGCTTGCGTAGTGCCGTTCTCGCCTGCCTTGACCATTCCGTTGCGCAGAGCGGCGGCATTGTCATGCGTGGCTAAGCGGCGAGCGGAGAAGGAGAACGCATGTTGTTGTCTGATTATGAAAGGCGCAATTTGGGGCAATCCACGTATATTATTGCTGCTACTGCTGCGGATTGCTGCTGCTGCTGCTGCTGCTGTTGTTGTTGTTCGACCGAGGGATGGCGCGAGAGTCAGGAAGGGGCGTTCCATTTGTTCTGGTGTGTCGACGGAGGAGGGGAAAGCAAAGCAGGCAGAAAGAGGAACTCGAGGATCGCCGATGCGGTCGGTTATGTCATAAGGTCCCTTCAGTCGAATCGATTGTATGCAGGCAAACGGTGCAAACAGCTTTTTCCCGACAATCGCTTGGTTTACCGTCCGCCCGCCGGACTGGGCGCATGTAAACACCGGTTCAATCTACCTTCAGCTCGGTTCGTTTCTTACACGCAGACTTTTTTCTTGTTCCTTCCCACAGCATCAATAAATACCAGAAAGGGTGGTTATTTTAGCGCTTGTATCGCACCCCGAGAGACACCTGTGCGGAGCAATCCAGTAGCTGTTGGTGTCAGCACGTCGCAAATGAGCAATCCCCCTCCACCGAATGTCGCGCAACCACAAACGAACGAGCGTGCCTCGTTCCAGGCACCGACAAGAGCCAGCTTAGCAAGAGCACATCCCACTCTCCTCGAACGCGCGCTGAGCAGATCGCCCGTGCGAAGCCCACCCAAACCGACTAAGGCGGATGCGCGGGCTGTCGGCTTGAGAGACCGAAAGGCTCTCAGACCATCATTGACTTCGTCTGGCAGTCCACTAAAGCCTCCCAAGAAGGCGAAGCCGTCGCCGCGACTATCCGGCGGGCTCAATGTCTTTGCTGCGCCCCCGAGGCGAGTCTCTACTCGAATAACCGCCTCGGATTTGGCTTTTGGGTCCCCCGCTTCGACGCAGCGGAGTATCGAGGAGCCGCGACACATCAACACGCCAGATGACCAACTGACATCGGAGCTGGGTAGCGTAACCGGGGATTTGGACGTCACCGGGGATCTCAGTCAGCCTTCTTTACAGGAGATACTCGAAGAGCCAGATCTTCCGCCGACACCGACACAACTGGGGCTGGAACCGCCACCGGGACGCTCAAAGGGGCTTTTGAGCAGCAGCCCTAGTTCACAACAAGCAAAATGGGGGAGACGACGAACGACGGACAATCCTGAGCAGACGCCATCGAGATTGAGGAGCGTCAATTATGGAGAGGCGGACGACATGACGGAATCGGGACCGACCATGGATTGGGAGTCGTTCCCGGAGCACATCCTGAAAAAGCGAAAGCTGAGGAATGAGCTCTCTGACGAGATGGAACAACTCAAGAAGGAAATTGCCGAATTGGAAGATTGGTCAAAGGAGTTGAGCCAAAAAGATGAACACACCGAACGTGACTTATCAAAGTTAATGTATGCTCCTCCTGACAACGGCTGCAAGACCATCACTGACCGGTTCTAGTACCCTGCTATCATCCGCTCACCCCACAGAAACAGCGCCATCTGGTCCTCACCCAACCGCGGCATCGATCTCGTCTCTTATCTCGGCTTTGCTTCCGTTCGCTACGAAGGCCCCCCCACCACCGACTGAAGATACACTACCGATCAATCCGTTTGCGCTGGACGAACATGTCCACAAGAAACCTTATCTCACAGCTTTCGCACCCTTGGGCCTTACCGCATTCTCAGAGCTTGTCCCAGCAACCACAACTGAGCCCCCCCTGGAGAGACATGTTCTAACTTTTACCGCGCCGCATCCGTTCCCTTCCAATCGCTTCAATGTAGCCGTTACGTATGACGCCAATCCACAGACACAAACCCTGGTCTCAATAAGAGTACCAACTGCAATTCAAACCGCCAAGGCCAGAATGCCCGCATCCTTACAACATTGGACGGAGATCCGACTCGCCAACCCGCTCCTGAGACTTGACGTCACGGGACTTTGCTGGGGGATCAATCGGTACTGGGAAGCTGTGATATCACGGGCACAACTGTGGTCACAGATGGAGGAGCAACATGCAGATTTGATCCCTGGCCATAGGAGGCCCAGTGCCTCCCCACCACCGGGCTCCGACAAGCAAAGCACGCCTGATCTGCGACGCATTCTGCCTCACCTCGAGCGAACCTCTATACTCTTTGAATCGAAGGCCAGACGCCTGAGTCTGCTCCTCTCCTGTGAGTTGAGAATCGACGAATGGTCAAGCGAACCCCAGCTTGTCCCCGGGATCAGCATTTCGAGCATCACCTCCGACGGGGCTCCTGGCCGGAAAGTCGAGCAAGAGTGTAAAAAGCTATTTCATACTATGTTGATGGAGAAATTAGACAGCCAGCCTGAAGGAGTCACCGGCGACTCAAGCGAGATCCAGACCGGCGCCATCTTGCGTGCTACGGAGTGCGTCGTGAAAGTTCTCTTTGGAGATAGTGACGAACTCGATCATGGTTCCGCGCATGATGCAGCATAGAGTTATCGGCGCCTACGGGCTTAACAATGGTCAGGTAATGATCAAGTGTGTTCACACGCATCTATGTCTATGGCGTTTGATTGAATCCATGCGTGTGGCGTTGTTGCGTGCTAAGGTTTGGGCGCGTTTCTTTTCTTCGAATCTAGGAGTTTCCACTTGTTTGGTTTAGGTTTGGAGCACGGGTTATACCACGGGCCGTTTTGAAGGGAAACTATGTTGTGGAGAGGTAACAGTGAAACGGTTTAATTTGCAATACGATAGGCTGCTGGGCCGGGTGTGATAGGGAGAGCGGATCCAATGCAAGCTTTCGATCCCCGGCATGTCTGCACATAATCAAGGATGAATGACAGCAGCAAATCTTCCTTTCTTAAGCCCTTACATTTTTGACAGGGTAGGTTTTCTTCACAGAGAGCGATCTGGGCCCATATGTTCTCCACTTACGTTCGCTATCGAGCACATACCTAGACTCGCAAAGTAGGATGCACTAGACCGTGGCAGGGTTTCTACAAGATATACAACCCGGTGGAAAGACCGTGATATTGACCTCTGCCGTCTACTCGTCAAATCAGGAAAAACATGTAGGTAATTTTGATGTGGTTTGGGGGGGGGGGGGGTATCTGCAAGGTCTTGATGTGATTTCTGGTGGAGGAAAAAATAAAACTTCTGATGACAATCGAAGTCCGGGGAAGAAGACCAGCACAAAAAATCGAAAGTCGTAGTGGTGGGACATGAACTTGGGACATTTGCATTTCGAGGTGTTTGGGAAGCTTTTTAAGTTAAGGACAAAGGTAAGAGAGGAAAAAGAGGAGCCACGCCATGCCACAGTAGACCAATCCCCGACTTGAAAATCGACCCGATCATCATTAGTAGTGAATCACATTTATTTCTTGGCAGCAGACTCCTCCTCAGCCTTGGCCTTAGCACGCTTCTCACGGGCACCCTTGTAGCGGGCCTCGGAGCGGGCCTCACGGAGGCGGCGGTAGGCAGCCTCCTCACCCTTGGGGAGGTCTTCGCGCTTGACCTCGGTGACAGCCTCGGCGGCGGAGACGTTCTTGATGGGGAGGGTGGGGTTGACGCGGGTGACGAAGCCCTCGGTCTTGCCCTCAGCGAAGGCAGCCTTGGCGGCGTTGACCTCCTCGGCAGAAGAGTCGAGCTTCTTGAACTGACCGCTCTTGCGGGGGAAGAGGATCAGGCGAGCCTTGTAGTCCTTGAGGCGGGCGACATTGGCGACGAGGGACTCCTTGGAGTAGTTGACACGGCGGTGGTCAACGGCGATGCCGACGGTGGGAGCGAGCTTCTTGGGGATACCAGCTTCCTGTTCGGGTGTGAAACCAACATGTGTAAGCCTTTGGATCCTGAATTTTATTCCTTCATGTGCGTGGCGCTGGGGTCCCCAGGTCGAATTGGACAATTCCAAGCCACACCCCCCCCCCTTCAACCTTCTTCGCTCCGGTATTCGTAGGATTGTCTCTTTACCTTCAGCTCAGCAAGGGTGAAACCACGACCAGCACGAACACGGCGGTTGTACTTGACAGTAGGGCAGCGCACAACGGGGCGCAGCTTGTCAACCGGACGAGGAGCAACGGCGGCAGCCTTAGCGAGACGAGCCTCACGACGGCGGTGCTTGCGGCCAGGCTATAAACCAGAAAGAAAAAAAGTCAGTCCACACCATCTTTTCTCAGCGATCCTCGCTTTTCCCATGTCGTTCGTATCAAGGCGAATTGCGATCGATAGAATCGTAATATTGGATCGTAGAGAAGGAAGAGCGTACCTGGTCGAAGTGCACGCGGACACGACGCTGCCAGTCCTTGTGGAAGTCTGAGATGAAAAAAATTCCGTCAGTCCATGATACATTCGATTTTGACCCAGTTCGTCGTCCATCATCCGGTGTATTTTTTTCCCTTCTCATCGTCTCCATCCCTCTCTCGCTCGCCCTGTACTCTTCGCTCCGTATGGCGGGTGCATTACTCACGCTGGTTGAGAATCTGGTTGTTGTGCTTGATCGCCTATATCACACCAAGAACAAATCCATCAGCATTCACCGTGTCGAGAAACCAACGTCGAGACACAGGGGGAAAAAGCCCATGATCATCGTGATTGATCGATAGACTATCGCGAGGGACGCATAACGCACCATTGTGACGGATGGGGATCAAGGCCGGGAGATGGTCGTCGTCGTCGTGGGTGGTTGCTGGTCGTATCTCAAGACTCCTCGCCTCAATATTAGGTGGAACTTTTTTTGGTGTGGCTAACCCGCGCAGAGCCGCATCGCCTCGCTTAGCGAGCCCTACCCTGCTTACCCAATCCGGAAGGCTCGTCCTCTTGTCCGCCTTCGTCTCCGCCTTTTCCAAACCGCAATTCCCAGTGACTTTGGATCGCTTGAATGCCACAGTAGACACTGCTCTTGTTATGGAGCATGAACTATTGGTGATCAAGAAGTCATATTTGTGGCTAAATTCATGGTTGTTACCCGATACTTCACTGCTCATCATATAATTTACCCTGTTTTCCCTTTTTGATACCTCACAGTACCACTCACTTCCTTCTGCCATTTCTGTCTTTCTTGCTTAGTCAGACGACCTGTCTCAGTGTCTACATACCTTGACGAGCTACCTCCACCATCCCCAGTCTTCACTGGTATACCATTTAAGATGTCATTGCCAATGTGCTCCAGCTCGGTTCAATTCGAATTTCATTCATCTCTAACTATCGCTAAATTGATCAATAACTCCTAAAATAAGAGTACCTAGTGGTTCACAGGATAGGCTCGAAAAGCCAACGCAAAAATATCGAAGACAAAATCCGGGGCAGATAAGATCTCACAGGGAAACAAGCTGCTCTTAAATAAGACCAGTCTTTTTCGTCATTTCTTTGAATTTCATAGCTCATCACTTTTCCATGTCCTGGGAGAAAGGCTCATATGCAGAAAGCAAGGTATAACGCAATCAGACCATCCGCGTCGACATAGAAAGGCGTCTCTCATGTCGTTGACGACAGGATACTATTTCTGATAAAGGTTCAGGTTTGGCAGAAACAGCGACGCTTTGCCGTTGTGCATGGGTACTGCTTGGTCTAGTTGTTCCAGGTGCCAATACCGAGACCCACCCTCTCCTCCGCTTTTGATCTCTTCGGGGTCGCACCATCAAAACTTGCCTTGCGTTTGAGATTCTTACTGAGGGGCCGATCAACGCCGGGCTTCCTCACTTGGCCAAACAGCTTTGTTTGCAGCAACGTACTCGATTTTGCAGCACTTGCCATGCCTCGACCCTCGGGATGGTTGCTGAACTGACTGCGGCGGTGCACGCTACTAGAGGCAGTCCGTGTTCCTGCAGCGGGGACATCTTCCTCGGTTTCGGCTTCTTCAATGTCAGATGCCGAAATGGTACTGTCTCGATCACGACGATCATCAGAAGAATATGTCACTGGGGTACAAATTCGACCCTCATCGTGCGTCAACCGAGGATGGGATGGAGTCATAGGTAAAGACGACAAAGAGTGAGCGCCGCGCATGTGACGACTCGCATTCTCTCGATGATGGCGGTGTCTATCGGGGGTCGAGGCGACAGCTGGCGACTCCTGGTTGAGGACGCGGTGAGCTGCTAGAAGAGCTTCAAAGGGGTTGTGCCTTTCAATTCCGTTCAAGCGATGACCACCGTTGTCGGCGAACTGAGGTACTGCCCCTCTATGAGGAGTGTGGGCCTCATTCTGGGGACTTGGAGACATTGGACCATGCTCGATCATCCGAGAGAAGTGTCTTCGGTTGTCGCGAATTCGGTCCTTCAGCATTCTATTTTCTTCTCTTAGGAGCTCGGAAGTGTTTCTCTCCTGTTCGATAAGCTTTTTTGCTCGGCGAAGCCTTCGATCGAGTGTAGCATTAACCCTGTCGAGTTCCTGATTGCGCTTGAGAGAAAGCTCAAGCTCCTCATTCGAAATCGACTGTATCGGTTTCATCTCATGCTGGCATTGGCGACTGCGATATTCCGAACTCTGAAGAATCTCAACTTCCCTTCGCGCAAGTTGATGCTCGACCTCTGCACGCTTGATCGCTTCGTTACTCGTGAACGAGAGCAGACTGTTTTGCAATTTGAAATGGAGCGCTGACATGCGGGCTTCCTGAGCTACACCTAGGAGGTCTTTGGCGATCATGCGAAGCTTCAATTCGTCCGCACTATCAATTTCATCGGCAGTTGGAAGGTTTTCCGAAGCACCATATGCCACACAGAGGGTCTTCTCGATATTGGGCGGGGATGCGAGGCATGAGCTTGATCGAGACCTCGATTCCCGCAGAGGGGCTCCGGGTATCTGGGATGAGGGGGGCGGTGTCATATCTGATGAAAGTAGAGATGGTGGTGAGAGGAGTTTGCTTTGGTCGGAGTTTGAAGCTTGGCTTCCAGCTTTGACACTCAAGTCTGGTGATGCGGATTGAACTGCCCGTTTAATCGGGGTAGCAGGCCCTGAAATATCGACTGGGGGAGCAAGCGATCCCTGCGAGAGCGGACGCTCAAATTCTTGTGACATAGTCAAGATATGGCATCCAGGAAGCAGGCAAGCAACTGTTTTTGCATTCGCAGCCAAGCCCGACGCAGTCTGTATGTAGGACCGTATGGGCAAAGCTTCAATGCGATGGGCCGGAAGTTAGCGTGAGACGGTCGGGCGCAAGCGCATGCGAGACGTCAATATCCTTAGTGAGTGCGAGGATGCGACGAGACGAAGTCTGTTGTCGAGCGGGTGGGCAGAATAACCAGGCTGGATGAATGCAATGGCAATGGGATGGCAAATCTACGGAAAGCGTTGCGCGATTCGTCGCAGTAACAGCTTTGCGACGGGATATGTATGTGCTTATCACCGATAGCCGGATCGGGCACGTTTCGCAAGTAGTATGGGAGTTGGCGATAAGAAGTCGGAAACAGATCGCTCCGGGTATGGCAGTAAGTTATGGCAGGGGAGAGCAATGTAAGAGACGATAAGTATGGAAGCGGGTGGGAAGCGCCTGTCAACGGGAGTAAGGAGATCAGAGGAATGAAGCAGGTACGCGCGATAAGGTATACGAAAGGGCGACGATGAAGAAGCTAGTTGATGGATGAGGGGGAAGGGGAGGGGGTGGGCGTAAGAGATGATATGATGAGGAGAAGCAAGGAGGAAGGGGCCGGATTGATGCCTTAAGGGTGTTTGCAAGCGTAAGTTGGCGCACAATTGGAGGAGGCTGGGAACCATCGCTTGCAATGCTTAGCATCGACCAACCATCTCCAACCACCATCACCCACGTGAGCCCAGCCGCGCGCTAAAAGGCCACCTTTCCTGCTTGGGCTAAGCAGAGATCGCTGACGCTTGCAAAAGGTAAACAACCGAAACCCCATGGGCCACTTTTGATTGTAGCTGAGGCAACCGACGACAGACCCAGCCCAGAGCCCAGCTAGCTGTACGGAGTACTCAGTTTACTATGGTCTTGATCTCAGAGCCCGATGGTAGTCGGGTCACAAAGCACCTACTGGCAGATAACAGTGTAAGGTCTGTCGACGCGGCACTCACAAGTCATTCGTCAGACAGTGTTCCAAGGATGAGTCTGGCCCGTGACATATATCGAACAGCTGGCTGCTAAGTAAGGCATGGAATGCAGCAATCGCATGCACCGGCGGAGGTTAGGAATGATATCATTCCTGAGCTTTGAAGTACTGTGCTGGAAACCTAGATTTGACTCTGACCTGGCAATGTCCGCAGCTTGGACTAGCATGGCTTCTTCTTCTCGAAAGGCCTTCTAGTACTGCCTTTGATGGATCTATTCTTGCCCAGCCGGGTCCCTTCAAGTCCTTAGAGTGCATGTTCTGTTGATCGGAGTCACATGAATACCATACATATTGATCACTTCACACTGAAAATGACTTCTACCTGGGTTCATGTCTTAATCAGATCAAGAAAGAATATATACTATCGGGTGGATGGTGTAAAGAGAGGTACTTTTGAGCTATTTCTTCCATCTCCAAGATTCAAGAATGTTTGGTCTAGTAGGTATCAATAGATTCACAGGTGCATCTAAGACTCTACAGCAATTTCGCTCCCTTGTATTAAATTGCTAAATAGTGTCCTTATATGAGAGACTGCGTTCATTAGCAATGCTTCAAGTGCCTAAACAGAACCTGAACGTTTCGTCTGATTAATACTCGCAGGTATGAGCTATGGCGGTGCCAAGGGAGTGCCTTAAAGGTGGGGGGAATATGCAGCCTCAGGCACCAGGATATGCAATAGCCGCGGCGGTTTTACAAATTAACTGGTAAACAATCAATTCAATAATTACAGCCATCTTATGGACAACATGCACACTGTGAGGTCACTGCGCCAACCTGACGATTGACCAACCCCCTCTCTAAGTCACAATAGGGTTGACCTCCACCATGACTGCTTGACCCCTTGGCAACTTCCGAACATCATTGATCGATATATTTTCATCCAGGTCGATATATCTTTGCGGCAATGAGCTTGCTATAGTGGTGAAAGTGCCCCCTTTCAACTTCCTCCCACAGCCGATCATAGTCAAAGACTCCCCGAACCTGGTACAAAGATGAACACTCAACCAAAAACACCTGCCCGAGCGAGTGGCATTCCCCGCTTAGCATCAAGACTCCCCTTGCCGACAATATCCGCAACCTCCAAACCCCTCCGACCTTCGCCATCGCGTGAGAAGCTACAAACCGACTCGGGCCTGGACGCGAACAGGCTCCGCAGACCTTCCGAAGATAATGTGTTCAAAAAACCACTGCCGAAATACACAGCACCTCAGAAACTCTCCGCCGGACTTCGGAAACTCAATGGGTCCCAGACAAGGGCGGGCGGGGGTGCGAAGTCCGAAGCCAGCACAAACTTGAATACTGCTCCATATTTGGAGAGCGATGCTGTCCTGATTGAAGATACTGAAACGCGAGGCCGTACGCGACCTTCGCTTGCAGAACGAACAATCGAGACACTCTCAAGAATACCGCCATCTCCAGGACCAGGTAGAAGACAGTCGAGTTTCTATGGCGCAACGAGTCCGATGCGGTCCCCATCACGCCCCTCATCATCAATGACTAGCTATTCAAGGTCAACATCCAGATCCTCATCTCGACAACCTAGTGGGGGCGATTATCTTGCACGACCGCCCTCTGCCATGCGGCTGCCATCCAGACCTCGCCCGTCTTTGTCCACG